ACAGTGAAAACTTCAGGAACTTCATACCAGCACTAGTAAACAGTCTGAGAAAGCAGAGTTTATGTTTTTCCTGCAACACTTTGTTTTGTGCTAAATGAACAGACTTTTTTCCACATGCTAAATTCGGAGATAAATATGTGTGTGAAAGCCGTCCTTTACCAAGATTGTTGGGAACACCAAATTTATTTAAATTTCAAAATCCACTAGATATATATATATGGAAAGGTAAATACTCAAACAGTCAGTCTCTACACATGCTCATTGTTGAGGGTTAAGTGTGTGTGAAAGCCGTCTTTGAAGTAGCTTGTTTGGTACACCAGGTTCTTTTCAGTTGGAAACTTCACTAAATACATACATATGGGGAGTTACTGACTCCTAATCTTTATTAAAGAGAAAACTGTAGGAACTTCATACCGAAACTAGGAATCAGACTGAGAAACCAGAGTATGAGTTTGTCCTGCAAAACTTCCTTTTGTGTTAAATGAACAAACTTCTCTCCACATGCTCATTTCTGAGATATACCTGTGTGTGAAAGCCGTCCTTTACTTTCTTTGATGGGCAAACAAAGTATCTCATAAATTGCAAAATGCACTACAGATATATATGTGGAAATTTAATAACCAACACATTTTTACTGTGAAAGCTGCAGGAATTTCATACCAGCACTAGTAAACAGACTGGGAAACCAGAGAAATTGTTTCCCTGGAATCCCTTTCCCTTAGTGCTCTATGAACGAACGTTTCTCCACATGCTCAGTGCTGAGATATAAGACTGTGTGAAAGCCGTCCTTCACATAGCTTGTTGGCACAATGTTGTTTTCAGTTGGAAACTACACAGCATGCATACATATGGGGAGTTACTGACTCCAATTCTGTATTACAGTGAAAATTGCATTAACATCATACCAGCTCTAGGAAAGAGACTGAGAAACCAGAGTATGAGTTTCTCATGCAGCACTTTCTTTTGTGCTAAATGAACAATCTTCTCTCCACATGCTAAGATCTGAGATATATTTGTGTGTGAAAGCCATCCTTTACCTAGCTTGCTGGGAACACAAGGTTCTTTTCAGTTGGAAACTTCAGTTCCTACATATATATGGGTTCACTCACTCCAACACTTTATTACAGTTAAAACTGGGGGAACTTCTTTCAGGAATTAGGAAACAGACTGAGAAGCCAGAGTATGTTTTTCTCCTGCAACACTTTCTTTCGAATAAGTGAACAAACTTCTCTCCACATGCTCAGTTCTGAGATATATCTGTGTGTGAAAGCCATCCTTTAAATGCCATGTAGGGAACACAAAGTTTTTTTAATTTTCAAAATCCATTATATATATATGGAAAGGTAGTAACTGCAACACTGTTTTACAGTGAAAACTGTAGGAACTTCATACTGGCACTTCGAAACACACTGAGAATCGAGAGAAATGTTTTCCATGAAAACCCGTTCCGCTTGTGCTCTATGAATGAACATCTCTCCACAAGCGCAGTGCTGAGAGTTAAGTGAGCGTGGAAGCCGTCCTTCACCTAGCTTGTTGGGAACACAAGTTTCTTTTCAGTTGAAAACTTCCCTATATACATATATATGGGGAGTTACTGTCTCCAACTCTGTATTACAGTGAAAATTGCAGGAATGTCATACCGGCACTATGAATCAGACTGAGAAATCAGAGTATGTGTTTCTCCCACATCACTTTCTTTGTGCTAAATGAACAAAATTCTCTCCACATGTTCAGTTCTGATATATATCTGAGTGTGAAAGCCGTCTTTTCCCTTGCTTGTTGGGAAAACTAAGTATCTATTAAGTTTCAAAATCCACAACATACTTCATATGGAATGGTAATAACTCCAAACAGTTTTACAGTGTAAAATGCAAGAACTTAATACTGGCACTAGGAAACAGACTGAGAAATCGAGAAATTGTTTCCCTGGTATCCCGTTCCTTTTGTGCTCTATGAACGAATGTCTCTCCACATGCTCAGTGCTGAGAGTTAAGTGTGTGTGAAAGCCGTCCCTACCCTTGCTGGTTGGGATCACAAGGTTCTTTTCAGTTGGAAACTTCACTACATACATATATATGGGGAGTTACAGACTCCAACTCAATATTACATGGAATACTGCA